CTCCTCCTCCTCCTCCTCCTCCTCCTCCTCCTCCCTCCTCCCCCCTCCTCCTCCTCCTCCCCTTTCTCCCCCCGCTCTCCTCCTCCCCCGGCCCCCTCCTCGTCCCTCCTGCGCCCCCCATGGCCCCGGACGCCGCGAGCTTCCGCAGCGCGGGCCCCGGTCCATCCCAGGGGCCGGCCCCCGCTCGTCCCTTGCGGTGTTTTCTGGACGGGCCCGCGGGGCCTCGCGGGGCCCCCCCCCCAGAGGCCGAACGCTGCCTCCCCAAAATCGGGGACGGAAAAGAGGGGGGTGATGACTAGGGGGGGGGTGGATACCATGGCGGGGGCCATGATATTTCCCCAGATTTCACGGCGCCTCTTCTTATTTCATTACGTCCCTGGCCCCCCCGCTGGGCCGCGCACATGCCGCTGGTCATGATTTGCACCCCCCCCTCTTGGACACCCCCCTCTTTGCCGCCCCCGACAAAAGCCTGCCGCAATGAATCTCTCAACTGCGAGAGCCCATCTGGAGGAGGCACGAAACCAAGCGTAACCTTGATAGCACAACCACGCTTACTGATACTGTAAAATGAAAACGATGGAGCCTCACTTATGCGAATGATACGTAAGAGAAGACAAGCCAGCAGTCTGTCATGTAACATCGGGCATGTCTGTCTGTCAATCTCTACTGAGACTAGCGGGCAACATCCGTAAAGGAGCGACTAAAACATATTGTGGCGAACGTTCAATGATGCTATGCTTTGACAGGTCACAGAAGTAATCCGCCACCGTACCTACAGCACGTAGTGGAATGTCCCAAGGCTCACGCAGTCCTGAAACATTCAGACTTGTAGGGTTTCAAAAATTGTTACTTCGCCGCTGCGAAAGTTAGGGCAAAATGCAACGTCACCCGCTCGTCAGCGGGGTCCCAGTGAAACGTTGTCAGTGGCGTTGCGCCCGCGACTAGAGAGAAGACGTCAAATGGGCCCTTTAAACCGCGGGGCTCCAGTACAATGTTCTGTTCAAGCATTGGTTTGCTCAAATCTCGGGCGGGACCGCTCTTTAGAATTCAAGCCCAATGGATTCGAATCCAGTCGAGATCGATTTTTGGAGGAAATCTTGGGCGGGGGTGCCATTTCGAAATCGAACCCGAAACATTCGAAATCGTTCGAAACGGTTCCCTGAAGGAAATCCCAAACGAAACCATACTTCCGAAATCCCTGGTCAGACATTTACAATTTCAAATGGCAGACAGTGTGGCCATTTCGAAACGACGGTTTCGGGGTTCGACTTCGACATGGCGCTTTCGCCCAAGCCTTCCTTCGAACTAGAATTTGAAACCTTCCTGGTTCGGGACTTCCTCCAAGACATAATTCCGAGCCTTTCAAGTTCGGTTTCGAAATGGCGCTCCCGCCCGGGACTTCCCGAATCATGGAATTCGAAACCCTTGTGGCTCGATTTCGAAATTGCGCTCCCGCCCCAGACTTCCTTGACAACAGAGGTCGGCACTTCTTCAGCTTGATTTCGAAATGGCGCTCCCGCCCAGGAGTTCCTCCAACACAGAATTCGAAACCTTTCGGGCTCGACATCGAAATGGCGCTCCCGCCCAAAATTTCCTCCAAACTAGAATTCGAAACCTTTCTTGTTCGATTTCGGAATGGTGCTCCCGCCCAAGACTTCCTCCAATACAGAAGTCGGAACCTATCCGGTGCAGGACCGAGGCTCTGTTTCCCCGCGCGGTTTTCTCCAAAGCAGGCCGCCCGCAAGGGGCGTGAAGATATTCTTCGTCGTTGCACCATCCGATGCGCAGGGAAGGCGGAATACGCGTTTCTTCCAAGTTACCGCCCCGTGGACATGTGAACGCTTCATGGCATGCATGACCGTGGGGGCTTCGGCGACATGCATTCCCCAGCCTACAATTCTTGACGCTTTGCGCACCCCCTGGGCCATGCGCAACGCTCCCCAAGCGTGTTGCCTTGATAAAGAGATTGCAGCAACGTGCCGTCCAGGACTGAACCGCATACCGATGTATGCGTTCGCAACTCTTCCCACGAAGGAAAGGGAAGACGAAGGGGCATCGTTTACTTATGATGATGATGATGAGGAGGAGGCGGAGGAGGGGAGGATGAGGAGGAGGAGGAAGAGGAGGAGGGGGAGGAGGAGGAGGAGGAAGAGGTGGAGGAAGATGAAGAGGCATATGACGATGAGGCGGGGCATGAGGAGAAGGAAGAAGAGGAGGGGGAGGGAAGGAAACTAGGGCGGGCAGAAGGAAGAAGGAGGACGGGTGGATTGAGGAAGGAGGGGGGACGTGTGAAGGCTGATCGGGGAGGGAGGGATGGGCGGAGTTGATGAGGGAGAGAGGGGGGTTCTGACGGAGAGAGGAATGAAGAAAGGCGGATGCATGGAGGGATCGGGGGAGGCGGGCAGGAGTGACAAAACACGGGGAGACGAGGAAGCAGGGGCGGTGCAGGAGGGATGATGGGAAGAGGGATGGAGGGAGTAAGGAGAGAAGCAGTCAAGAAACCCAGGTGGGTGGATGGGTCGGGGGATGGAGGGAAAACAGATGAGAGGATGAAGGATGAAGGATGACGGACGGAAGGAGGAAAAAAGTAGGAGGGACGAACTTATGGCTGGATGGATTCCGGGATGGAGGGAGGGAGGGAGGATGGAGGGAGGGAGTGAAGATGAATTGACGGGTGGAGGGATCCAGGGATGAAAGGGGGTGGAGGGAGGAAGGATTGAGAGAAAAGGTAGCAAGTTGTGCAACGATAAACGGGGGAGGGAGGGTCGACAGATGAAGAGCGTTAGGGTGGTGGGATTCACTGGCGACGGGTGATTGGAGGCGGCTGGGTACGGTGGTGCTCAAGCGTTTCTTGGCTCAGACAATCATGATTGCGTACTGCTGCCTGCGAGGAGTGGCGTTCGCTGGCAATTTGATACCGCAGGCGGCGGGGTGCTGACAGCCCTGGTGGTGCTCAGGTGCTGACTGATTGGCTCAAGCACTCCTTCTTGCGCACTGCTGCTTGTCAGGAGTGGTGTCAGTGGAACTCTGGTCCCACGGGCTCTATGGTAGCTTATGGGACAGCCATTCGGGCCGCACGAGCGGGCACGTTCGGCAGGAAGCCAATCAACGATGCAGCCAACAGGGGCACAGGCCGCCTGTCGTAGGCGCGGTCTCCAGCGCGGCTCGCAGACTCTGGTCGCGAGCTCTGGTCGCGGACGCCAGTCGCGAGTGCGGGTCGGTTGTGCGAGCCGCGGGCGCGTGTCGTAGGCACGGGTCGCTTTCGCTTTCGGGATACCACGCCGCAAGGTGCACCTTGCTTTCCCTGCTGACAGTCATTCGGCCGACGAGCCGTAACGCGGGTTGGGTGGCTGACAGCCCCGGGCTTCCATAAGGAGCATCAACTGGGAGCCAAAACTATACCCACACCGTGTCATCTTGTTTTGGCGTTATTATCGTAAGGCTTAGAAGGGTGAATACGGTCCTCTGGTCCTCCTTCCCCTTCCTCTCCCCTCGTTGGAACCTTCGTTCTGGGCTGTCTTGGTGGAAGCACGAAGCGGGTCAAACCTGTCGTGGCGCCGATGCGAAAGCCCGAACCACCGTTTTCACAAACATTTCCTGGGACTCCCCGGGATTTCCAGCGATTCCCCGGGATTCCCTGGGATCCCTGGGATTTCCGGGGATTCTTGGGATTCCTCGGGATTCCCCCGGCGTGTCGCGCTTGTCCTCCTGTAGCACAGCCGGCTAAACATGGGCCCAACGAGTGCCCAAAAGGGCAGAAGATGCCACTGTGAAGGCCCAAGAGTGCCCCGATACGCTCAAGATAGCCTCAACATGGCCCAAAGAGGCCCCGAAGAGGTCCCGAGAGTGTTTCAAGAGGCGTCGCAAGATGGTCCCAAAAGGCACAAACCATTAATTTGCCTTATATATATATATATATAGATCGTTTCTAATATTCTCAGCTCTTTCCGACGCTCCAAGACGGCCCACGAGGCCCCCAAGACCACCCCAAAACTGCCTCAGATGCCCCCCCTAAGATACCCCCAAGAGGGGCCCAGGACGGCCCAAGAGGCCCCGAAGACGGCCCCGAGAGGGGGTCCAGGTGGGAAGACTCCCAAGAGGCTCCCAAGACCGTGAGAACTCTGAACCACAACCCAGGCACGGTGGCGGGATGGGCCGAAGGCCACTGGCAAATTTTACGACTAGCAAGGTGGATACTAGTGGTACTAGCCATGACAGGTATACTAGCAATACTCGTCTTACTCTCGTGAGCACCCAGCAAACTAGCACTACTAGTATTGCCACTCATGAGCCGAACACTGGCACTTGTCATGTCTATCTAAAGAGATTACACCCAACAAAAACCCCAATCAATGGATGGTTTTCGCTGAGGAGATTGACCTGGGGAGCGCTTGCACTCCCCAAATCGATCCTCCTCTTGGAACTCGGGAGTCCGGGAACCCAGAACCCACCGAAATCGGCCTGGAACCAATAACGGGGACCCCGGGAACCCGGAACCGAGAATCCGGAAATCCCACCGAAATCGGCCTGGAACCCAGAACCCACCGAAATCGGCCTGGAACCCACCGAAATCGGCCTGGAACCCGGAACCCACCGGGAATTCGGCGGAACCCACTGATATCGGCCTGGAACCTGGAACTGGGAATCCTGGAATCCAGCCTGCCACCAGCATCGGCGGGAAACTTTCGCCAGACCTTTCAACTTCCGCTGGGACCCCTTCAGTGCAAGCACTGATTGGGGAATCCAGTCGGGACGTTGACCTAAGGAACCCTGAACAAGGAACGAGGCCCCTTTTTTTCCCATCAGTTAAAGTTCGATGTCCCGTCGAAAACCTAAGGACTACCTAGGGCAAACTGTGAAACAATCAGGGAACACGGAGCCCCTCCCCAACGAAAAGGGCTCCTTCTCCAGCGCCCCGACTGTAGATCCACAGCGTACACGCCAAGACGCGCAGTGATGCGAGGAGCGCGCAAGAGGGGCTGCACGGGGCGGCGGCGCTCCCCCAGCCGCGAGGTGCGGCCACCAGAGCTCCAGGTCTCTGGAGACCGCCTCCTCCGCGTGGTTCGCGTCCACGTACACGAACGTCGGCGGGGCGGGGGCCGTGACGCCTCCCCCCGCGCCCGGGGAGCAGGCTCCCATGCTCGGAGACCGAGGATCGGGGTCCGCGTGCTCAAAGGGTCGAGGATCAAGGACTAGAAGATCGAAGCTGCTCGAGGATCGAGGATCGACACTGCGCGAGGATCCAGGCTCGATCGCCCAGGTCAGAAGGGCGAGGATCGAGGTCCGCGCGCTCGAAGTTCGGCGGGCTCGAGGCCGCGGGACACCCCCCCGCAAGGAGAGGAGGAGGAGAAGGAGGAGGAGGAGGATGAGGAGGAGGAGGAGGAGGAGGAGGAGGGGAAGGAGGGGAGGATGAGGAGGAGAGGAGGAGGAGGAGGGGAGGGAGGAGGAGAAGGGGGGGGAGGAGGAGAAGGAGGAGAGAGGGAGGAGGAGAGGAGGAGGGAGAGGAGAGGGAGAGAGGAGGAGGGAGGAGGAGGAGGAGGAGGAGGAGAAGGGGGGGGAGGAGGAGAAGGGGGGAATGAGTAGGAGGCAGGAGGAGGGAGAGGAGATGAGACCGATGAGGCGCAGGGCAGCCCCAAGAAGGCCCCCCAAGGGGCCTATGATGGCCTCAAGAGGGTCCCGAAATTCCGAGACGAGTCCCAGACGTGCCATTTCACCGTCTGTTTTTTCTCGGATTTTCGCGGCCCTCTCGGGACTGCCAGACTTCTCTGAACGCACCCTAGGAGCTCTCTCGAAGCCTTGGGAGTACCCCGAGAGGCCACCAGGGAAAAGAGAGAATCCCATAAACGATCTACGCCCAGCAAGCTGTTGGGATTGCAACGCGCGACATGTGCGCGCGTATGCTCGCGCATGCATGCGTGCGCGCCACCGCACGGGCATTGTGAGTCAACGGCCTTCTGGGTGGTGATCGGGATCTTCTGGAAGGTTTCTGGGGGCCTCCCCGAGACGGTTTGAAGCATACAATTTATTGAAAACTAACTATCATTGTTGCGTAATTCAAAAGTGTCGTGAACTAGCGATGAATAACACAATTATGTACTATGAGTGTCTCGAGTTGTGCATTTACTACATTTTACATTTGCAAACCATTCTGTGACTCCGAATATGTGTTTTTCCTTTGTCTTGGCGGTATCGCTGCCCGTCGTTTGTGGTACAATAGCACCGGCCACTCTGCTGCACAACACCGATTGCTAGAAGCACGCTGTTTGGGGGTCAGCGCTGGCAAACGTGTCCTCAAGGGCTTCAGACTGTTTTGGGTTCTCCACTTATCTAGCGTCCGACGCTCCAAGACATCCCAGAGGCCCCCACAAGCGCCCTAAGACGGACCCGGGGGCACCAAGGAGGGCTCAAAAAGGGGGAACACAGACCGTCCGCCCGAGGCGCCCAGGAGGCCCCGGGAGCCCCCCCCCCTCCCTCCTCCCTCTACGAGGCCCGCAAGAAGCCCCCACGAGGCCCCACGAGGACCCCAAGGGGCCCAGAACGAGTTCCCAAAACAGCCGCCCAGAAGCTTCAAAACAGCCTCCAGGAGGCCCCCGAGAGGCCCCGACGAGATCCCAGCGAACCTCCGAGAGGCCTCAGACCCACAACCCAGGCACGGTGGCGGGATGGGCCGACGGCCATTCGATACTGGTGATGGCATGTTCCAATCGTTTTGTTTGACATCGGATTGGGTTCCCGTTGCTACATCGTTTGTGCAAACATCGTTTTTTGTAGCGTGTTGCCGAACGCTTCAATCGGTGTGGGGGTGTGCGTTTAGTTTGTTGGGGGCATCTCGGGTATCCACTGATTCGTATGGTGTGCGTTACACTGTCTCAAATGGCTTGGTATTTTCGTTGAGTCGCCCGTTGACAGCGCTCGTGGTTTTGGCGTTGCCGATCTCCTTTCTTGAGCGTTTCCAGCGCTGTCGGTGTTTTCGGTAAGAACATGTGTGCATTTGGTTTGTGCGTCAGACAGGTTTAACATCTTCTCCGCTTTGAGTTCTAGAATGCTTCGCGCGGATAATAATAGCCCCGCGCAGTGGCACCGCAAGAGAAGCCGATGCAACATGAAACACATGGACAAGTCACCTGCAAGGGATCCGAAACAATTCAACGCAACATGTAACATCACATCATGCATACATTAGGAATCACTGTTGGACACATGCAACGGAAACACCTGTCTTCGAAACGCAATGAAACAAGTCATACACCATGCAAACATAACATATGCATAATTTGTCCAATACGTAGCCGCACGGAACCCACGCAGTAAAACAACAACCATGGCTCCATGCACTACATAACAAACGTAAGTTAGTACAATGCTGTTAGTCCTCCTCCTGCTCCTCCTCTTTCTCGTTCTCCTTCTCCTCGAGGAGCTGGGATGGGTGCCGTCGTGTTCTGCAGGTTGGGCATTCTGGCATGTTGCTTGGTGGGGAGCCCAATGCCGCTGGGCAGTGACGGGTCTGCCCCCGAACCTTTGCTGCTGGAAGGCTCAACCGTGCTCCGGACGTGTCGAATCAAACCCTCTTCCCTCTTCCTTTCCCCCCTTACTCCCTCTCTTCCTCCCTCTCCTGCCCCTCCTGCTCCTCCTCCTGCTCCTTCTCCTCTCCTGCTCCTGCTCCTGCTCCTCCTGCTCCTCCTCCCTCCTCCTCCTCCTCCTCCTCCTGCTCCTCCTCCTCCCTCTCCTGCCCCTCCTGCTCCTCCTCCTCCTCCTCTCTCTCCCCTCTTCCTGCTCACGGCGCGAAGCACAAGCATGGTGCCCAACTCCACAGGCTCTCGGTGGCTCGCCGGGCCCCCGTTGGGACCCCACGGGGAGGAGCCCAAAAAAGGGGGGCGGAGAAGGCAGACAGGAGAATCTCCTCCTCCTCCTCCTCCTCCTCCTCTCCTCCTCCTCCTCCTCCTCCTCCTCCTCCTCCTCCTCCTCCTCCTCCTCCTCCTCCTCCTCCTCGCCCTTCTCCTCCCCCTCCTCTTTCTCCCCCTCCTCCTCCAGAGAAGGCAGACAGGACAATCCCTCACAAGCAGCAGATCTCGGAGGTGCGGAGGGACTCGATATTAGAAGTGCCAGGGCACGCGTTTTGTCGATCTTCGAGGTTCCTGAGGGGCCCTGGAGCTCTTGTGGGTCCCTGGGCTATCGGGTGACCAAGAATTTCCGTCGGGCACTTGCTCGAAGGCCGGTTTCCTATCTGATATGCCGACTGTAGTCGCGAGTCTCTCTTGGACCGGTGCTGGGCCCCCCCCTCCCAAGCGCGCGGAGCGCGCCCAAGGGTATCGCCGGAGGCGCCGCCAAGGAGTTCAACACCGATCGGAGAAACCCGCGAGGATCTTCGAAGAATATACTCATTTCCTCTTTCCTCACGGATGAGACAGAACCAGGACGAGGATACATTCGGGTGAGGATACATCGAGCGTCTCCGAGATCCCGCGGCTTTGGAGGATGTCTCGGGTGCCGCGGCCTTCCCAAAGCGTTCCGGAACGCTCTGAGAGCGGCCCAGAACGCTCTGGAACGGATCTGTTCTCGTCCGGGCTAGAAGGGCCCAGAGACACATAAGGAAATGGGATACGAATCCCACAACTCTCAATATATGTTCTTTTTTTTTTCTGGAGTTTCGTCTTCCCCTCCACTTCCCACGTTTTCCAATATTTTCCAAGGGATCGACGATCCTCTGAGTCTCTTGGAAAAAGAAACAACGGCATTAGCATAAACTTTCGGCGCTCCGAGCGGATGTCTTGGATATGCGTTGGGATCCCCTCCCTGGCGCGCGGAGCGCGCCAGGGGCGGCGCCGGAGGCGCCGCCAGGGGGCCCCAGCGGACAAAAGTTTATGTCTATGGCGAAGCGCCAAAAGTTTATGTTTATGGCGTGTTTTCTTCCTCGATCGTGTCGGTGTTTTTCTCTCCTCAATAGCCCCACCCGAGCGAAGGCGGTGCAACAAGTCACCAAGGGCAAGCCGGAGCGGGCGAGCCGTCGCTGGAGAGCGCCCGGACCTGTCAGGCCTGGGGCCCCTCCCTGGGCCAGCCCCTCCCCGTCGCCGCCCCGGATCTTCGCTCGTGCGACGTTGCTCACACGGGAAGGAAACTCTCTAGCTTTCGTGTTGCTAGAAGTGCCCCTGGCCCAGGGTCCCCCCAGCTTTTCGCTCCATTTTGGAGCCCCTGCGGCCCTCTGGGCCTCGTGAGGGGTGCCCTTAAGACCGCCTTGGCCACCCCGAGAACCCTGGGGGTACCTTGGGCCAGGGGTACTTCTAGCAACACCCGACGTCAGGCCTGCGCAGTGTCCACAAGAGCAGGAACGCGGCCGAGCACAGGAGGGCGTGCAGGCAGCTACGGAGCTCGGACGTGCAGGAGCAAGGTGCGGACGCGCTGCAGAGCCCCAGGAGAGCGGAGCACCGACAGCGCGAGCACCAAATCTGCGAGTGGCCGGGGCCAGCCCCTGCCCGTCGGCGCCCGGGATCTTCGCTCGCGCGACGCTGCTCCACTCGGACACGACGCCACGGCAGATTTTTTTGTCGCGACGACGTCGGCGTTGGTTCGGCAAGACTGCGCGACCTGGAACGATCGCGGCTTCCCACTTGGGGCGGTTCGCTGGGTGCCGGCTGGTTCTGGGCCAGCCGCGGCGTTCAACCTTGAACGCCCGTGCTGGGATCGCCGTGGCGCCGATGCGGCACGACCCGATCGTGCTTCACTCAGAGTGTCAGAGTCAACTGCGCTCGCCATTGTGTTCAGCGAGCTGTGGCAGGCATGGTGGTATGTGGCGGCGCCCCGGTTGCATCTTGGACATACGTCGGAGCCTCGTGCGCACGGTCTCGTACTCGCTGCCCTCAGCAGGAAAGACGACGATCGGGTGGATAAGCTTCGTCGCCGTTCCTTTCGGGATCGGAGCCCGGACTCGCCCCCCCTTCCTCCTTCACTGGAAATCGATGGAAACCCAGGGAGGTCAGGAAACGCCACGAAACCTCGATGCTCCTCCTCCTCGCTTCCTCCCTCCTTCCTCTTCCGTTCTACCTTCGCATCCTCTTCTCCTTCCACCTCCCACCTCCGCCAGACTTGCTGCCCCCAGATGTACCGCCGTTCTGCTACCACAAAGAATTTCGAACAAGGAGCCAATGGGGCTTGTCTGGCCGCGGCGAGCCCTGGCCAAAAACAAGCTCTCCGATCTAGATCAGTGTGTTTTCTCCGTATCTGAAATGGGGCTCTTGTTTTCACAGCACACCCCGCGCAAAAACCTCGCCCGCCCCTCCTCCCATCATGATGCCTTGCCCCCCTCCCCTCACCATTACATGGGCGTTATCAACATTTGTACCTTCTTGGGCATAACCGAAGTAACGGCTACGATGCATCCACATGCCGTTATGGCATGAGGGGGTGTTTCCATCGGTGTCGTTGTGATGTGGAGCTGGTTGCACCGAAATGCAATCAGTGCTACTTGGGCCCAGCAGCGCCTGAGTCCCCCAGTGACTGTGAGCACCCAGGTGCCTATTGCAACTACATCGCCAAGCTCCTGCCTTGTCATTCCTCCCTTCCTCCCTCCAACTGGTCCCAACAGTTGCAGTGAGGGTAAACTGGACGAACTTGTACTGGATTTGCGATCGGAATCGAGACTGATGCGACCACACGCGCATTTCTTCCAAGAGAGTCGTTATCTTGGATTCGGCCTGCGCCGGATAACTTCTACCTGAGTCCAGCAACGCCTGAGCACCACTGTGACTGTGAGCACGCTGCCGCCTGTGAGCGCCACATTGACAGTGAACAACAGGCACGCAGAGCACAGCAATATCAATAAACCCTGAACGTTGATCGATGCACGCTCCTCCCTCATCCTTCCACCCTGCCTCCCTCCAACTTTTCCCCAAAGTTGCAGCGAGGGAAAACTGAACGAGTTTGTATTGGATTTGTGATAGGAGTCGAGACTGTTGCGACCACACGCGCATGTCCTGCTAGAAAGTAATGTTTTGACTGCTGGATTGGGCCTCGGAGCCGGATCAAAACTACCTGAGTCCAGCAACGCCTGAACACCACTGTGACTGTGAGCACCCGGCCGCCTGTGAACGCCAAATCGCCAGTGAACACCACTGCTGAAGAGCAGCTCAAGTACGCAGAGCACAACAATATCAGTAAAACGAAAGTTGATCGATACAAGGTCCTCCCTCACCCTTCCCTCAAAGACGGCCAAGATGGCCTCCAAGACGGCGAAGATGGCCCCAAGATGCACCCAAGACGGCCCAAGATGGCCTCAAGATGGCCTAAGACGGCCCAAACGGCCGCCAAGAGGCCTCCAAGACGGCCCAGGAGTCCTCCAAGACGTCCTCCAGGAAGGCCCGAAAGGGCAACGATTATGAATTTTCATTGAGTTTTTAAAAGGTTTTGGCATTTGCTTCTTTTCAGCTCTCCGACGGCCCAAGACGGCAAAAGCGGCCCCCAAGATAGCTCCAAGATCGCCCACGAAACCTCCAAGATGGCCTCATGACAGCCCAAGGAGCCCCCAAGACGGCCCCAAGAAGGCCCTAAGACGACCCAAGGTCCTCCAAGACGCCTAGATTGCCTCGAAGACGGCTCTGAAACGTCCCACGAGGGCCCGAAGTCGGCTCCGAGAGGCCTCATAGACGGCTTCCGACGGGGTCAGATGGACCTGGAGCGCCCTAAGACAACCAAAGAAGCTCTCAAAGAGCCCCCAGAGGCCCCCAATAAGCCCAAGGAGGCCTTCAAAAGGTCCCCAGGAAGCTCCAAGAAAGCAACAAGAGCCCAAGAGTGCCCCAAGAAGCTTTCAAGAGGTTTTCTGCTCCCTCCTGCTGTTTCTCCCCTCTCCTTCTCATCCTCATTTTTCCCCCCAAGTGTTCCCCGAAGGTGTCGAGGCAAGATTCGGGGAACACATCGCCCGATGGCTTGGTCAAGCTCAGCCTCCAACAAAGCCCAAGATGCACCCGACCTCCTCCACGTGTTCCCCGAAAGGTTTCCAAACCGATTCGGGGAACACTCGTTCCGAAAGATTGGCAAGATCTGACCCAACCTTCGGCTAGCAGGCTCCAAGAGGCCTCCAAAAGCTCACAAGAGCCCCCAAGGGGCCCCGAATACGCCCATTCCTCACTCTCCTCCTCTTCCCCATCCTCCCCACCGTGTTCCCCGAAGGCTTTCCAAACCGATTCGGGGAACACATGGTCCGATAGCTTGGCAGGGCTCTGGCCTCGATGTTCGGCCACATAGGCACTTCCGAAAGGGCAGGGGGCGGCGGTGACTCGCCGTAGGCGTGTTGGGGGGGGTGAGGGGAGAAAGGGCGGGGGACTTTTGAGAAAATGTCTCCCCCCGGCCCTGGGGAACCAGCCGCCCGTTATCAGCACTATTCGTGTTACCACGACTGCGGTTATTTTCTGATTATACGTATTATTCGTGTAACCGCTATCATGATTAGCCATGCCGTTACTAACAGACACGAATGTACATTCGGGTATATCTATCTATACATACAGGCGTTTATCTACATACATATGTAGACTGCGTATACAAGACGCGCGTACAACTATACGTTGTACACTATGAATGCAAAGCACCAACGACCCGTTTTTCGGTGAGCAAGCGCCTGCGACCTCTCCCACACTCTCTCTCTCTCTCTCTGTAGCGAACCCTGCATGGCGCTCGAAGCGCTCCGCTCTTTGCGACGGCACCCCTCCCCTCCCTCCCTCGGCCCGCCGATCTTGTAGGTCTGCGCGAAGGAGTACGAGAAGTCACGGGCAAGAACGTACCTCCCCGTCGTCTTCGTCGAGGGGAGGGTCAACCGGCATCGGATCGAGAAGTCGGGTCGGGTTGGAACGTGCGTCGGATCGGGCTGCATCGGCACGGCCAGCTGAGCTGTGCTGGATCGGACTGGGCTGCACCGCTGGCTAGAAAGTCGCGAGATTGGAAGGGGGGCGCCACACAAAACAGCATGCTTCTGATTACTCCAACTTTCAGCCGATATCCCTTCGCCCATTCGCACGTGACAAGGTGTCGCGCGCTCCCTGGGCGCTCGTGGAACTCCCCTTCGCTCGTCAATTACACGCGGTACGTACCCTCTTCGTAGCCCTCTCTCCTCTTGCCATGCCTCTTGCCACGCCATGTTCACTTTTCTTCTGCATGTCCTCCCCCCTGCGAAAGCCCGACGTTGACGACGGAGATCTCGGACACAATGCCGGCGACGACATCATCGGCGACCGTAGTTGTGGATATGATTGCATGGAGGTGGGGGTGCGCCAACGCAAACAGCCCACGAAAGAGGCATCGCTTCCCCGAAGCAGTGGCCCTAGAAAGCCCAGCCACCAGCGGGTCCTACCAGGGCGACAACAACCACCGCAGACTTGACCGGAACCCACGACCCGAGCCCCGAGCCCACCAAACCCGAACCCTTTCGAACCACACCATATTCAACCCAGACCTTTGGACGCCCGAATTGGGTACGGAAAAGATGGGTACAATGCCCAACAACACATGTTGTCCCAAACCAACAGCGGCCGCTGTTGGGCAGGCGGCCTTCTGTCTCAAATGGACACCGGCCGCGGCGGCGCGGACCGCGAGTCCGGAACAAAATGAGCAGGAACTGCTGTTGGGCATTGTACCCATTCTTTCCGTACCCCTTTCGTTCGTGCAGAAGACCCACCCCCCACCCGTCCTCCTCCTCCTCCTCCTCCTCCTCCTCCTCCTCCTCCTCCTCCCCATCCTCCTCCTCGCGCCAACCCCAGCCTCGACCTCCACGAGCACGCGGCCTCCCAGGTCCGCGCGGCAGCGGTCGCAGCCACGGGGGCGGCGGCCGCACCCGCCGAAGCAGGGGGCGCCCGCGGGAGCGGCGGCGTGGAGCGGCAGCGCCGCTGCAGCTCCACAGGCAGCCCAGGGGGGCAGGAGAGCAGCACGCGCTGTCGCGGACGATGGTGGCGTCCTTGGACAGCCCAGCAGGCTGTTCCTCCGTGCCAAGTCCAACGAGGTCGTCGCCGATGTCGCCGGAGACGTCTTCGGTTTTCTTCTCGCGGCTGACTGGCGCGTGACCCTGTTCCTGGCTCTCCCTCGCAGGCAGGTGGTCCTCCCTATCCATTCGTCGGGCAGGACCTCGCGCGCCGTGGGTCTCCGCCTCCAATTCGACGCGTTGGTGGCGAGACTGCCTGGCTCATCATGCTCAGGATTGATCTGTGTCGTTCTACTATCTGCCAAAATGTCGAGGGATACCAGGCACGAGTTCTTGACCGGTGTGCAAAAAAGATGGGCGGGGCAGCGCGTGGGCCCGTTCCATTGTGCTGTCGCCGAGGTGATGGGTCCAGTCGGCTTCCTTTGTGTCGGTGCTGGTGTCGGTATTCGTCCGTGCCCATTGGCCTGGGATCCCATCTTGATCACCGATGTCGGACATCGTATCGCGTGCTCCCGTGGGCTGCTTTACCTTGTATCTTACTGTTATTGTGATGTATCCTGCTTGAGCCAGTATTGTCAAGCTGACAGAAAGTCTGGAGTAGAATGCGCTGGGTACTTGGCGAAACTGCCAGGGCCTCCCCGCCGGAAAGAGCAGCTGGAACATTCGTGGGTCCTGCAATTTCTGACTCTGCCTAAGCAGTGGACGTTGCTCGAGCCAGACCAAAGTGTGACTGGACGTTGACGTTGATGGAATTGTAGCTTGATTTCTTGGGTAGGTTGACCCCGGCTGCCTGGTGCACCGTTCCTGCTGGGCATGTTCGCGCTAGGCTGGTCCCTTGCTCGATCGTGGTCGCGACGTGGAACGCTGTCTTGGCAGGTGCTTTCATCTGGGATTCCAGCGTGGGTCCCGGCCTGCAGATCCTGATCGTGACCAGTCGTATGCCTGCGGCTGGGTTTGTGACCGCTTCGATGGTCCGGCCCAACCTGGTGGCCAGATCGATCGCAGCACAGAGTATGCTGTCCATGGCATGCAATCATAACTGATGTGATTGCTCACAGGCGCGATTGCGTGGATTTCCTGAACAGATACATCTGGGAGGCATTCAAATCCAAACCAGCTGGTGATCACATCGCGTGACTTCGCTGAGGCGAGCGAAGAAGCATGGATACGTGAATGTTCATTGGGTGGGATGCTCGCATCTGCCGTGCATGCTGCTCAAGAGCTCGAGCGCGCGCGGGTGCGGGCTCCATTGCTAGCGCGCGGTTGCGGCGCGACGTTGGCCCCCGCCAAGGAGAGCCGAGGAGTCCCCAGAAGGGGGCCTCGTCTCGTCGGCGCGAGCGTGCAGTTGCGCGCCGCGGTCGGGTGCGCCGCCTGGCGCCCGCGCAGCTCTTCCGAAGCCGTCGATGACAATTGCCAGGTGTCCGCTCGGAGCTCTGTGCAACGGGATGTGGGCGGTGCCTGGTGGCCGTTGGATCTGGACGTCGCCGACTCCCGGTCGGATCAGCTCGTGCTGGCCCGTGTCCAGGATCGCGCGCGTGGGCTCTATGCTTCGCGGACCTAGTGGACCAGGCAAGCTGCTGCCCGATCTTCGGGCGATGCGCGCCGTTGCTCGGCCCAGGTCATCCGCGACGGCTGTGGAAGTGCACGCCTGACTGGTGCGCTCCTCAATCCCGTTGCCAACCAACTCCGTGGGTGTTCCAAACTCGCTCATGGGAGGCTGCTGCGGCTGGTGCCCCGCCTGCGCGGCTCTGCGGCACAACAGGCATGCGGGCGTTTCTCCCATGGGATTGGCCCGCGCACCCGGGTTCAGATGGCGCTGAGCTCTCTGGTGGTGAGCGGGGCGCGGCTGCGATGCCTGGGCGGCGCGCTCGCTGGCCGAATCGTTGGCGGACCACCTGGGAAGTTGGTCGGCCCCACGTCTATGCGGTGGGCCTGGGGGGGACTGCTGTCCCCAGGTGCAGGGGTGCTGGAAGTCATCTCGGCCTTTAAAGCGTCTCGTGGAGTGACTGGCGCCCCATCGACCGCGCGTGCTTCGGATGCCGCGCGGGGCGTGGCGGCTACATGGGCGTGCGCGACCTCTATGTGACTTGCGCGTTGGGCCCGAGCCTGGTCGCCGCAACATGCTTCTTCCGTTCGCCTCCGGGCGATGCTGAGGCTTGCAGTGGCCCGGGCGTCGGCGCAGCTCCGGCGGGAACGGCGGCAGCGTTGGGCGATGACCGCGCGCTCCAGCTTGACGTACTCGTCCAATCAGATCCGCGTGGCATCCGCATCCACTTTTATGCGTGCCTGCAGTTTTTGATTCACCACGCAGGTCCACTTGCTGTGGTGGTGGTGGTGCCGCGGCTGGAGGGCAAGCCGTGGCCGTGGCGCTTATCGGCGGGGCGCGCCCGCGTCGGTGGGCGCGTCATTGTCCCATCTGAACGTCGCGCTCGGTCTTCGAGTGGGCCGCGGCGAACCGTCGGGTCGCGGTCTTGGGGGCTAAGTCGCGTGTGGCGTTGGTTTTGATCGGCCGCTTTGACAGGGCGGCTTGCGCTGGCCGACCTTGCCGAAGGCAGGCTAGTTGACCGAGCCCGCTGGCGCGATGTATCGCAGTGCGCTGGTCGTCGGGAACCGCGATCTGGCCCGTGGACAGGACGGTGGCTCCCGCGCTGCGCCGCTGACCGATTATGCTCATCTCGCGGGGGCCCCGCGGAGCCGCAACCCTGCGTGCTGCGCTGGCCAGGGGGGCGCTCTCTGCCTGCTGATGCGGCCAGCACCTCGGCGGCAGTGGCCGTGCCTGGGGGTGGCGGCAGCGCCGGTAATTGACGCGGCCCTGAAGACGGCGTCGACGCGTTGAACATCTGAGGTGGTGGTGGAGCGGCCAGCGCGGTAGTGCGCGCGTGGCCTTGGGCGGTGGTTGGCGAAGCTCGCGCCGCGATGCGCGGGCAGACCAGGGTAGTTGCTGGGGGCCGTCGATGGCCGGCTGCGCTGGCGCGCTGTCGGCCCCAGCTGCGGCTGAGGAGGACTCTGTGACCGCGGCGACAACTCTTGAGATGCCAGCCAGGGTGTCTTGGTCTAGGGTGCCATCCATGGGTCCTGAGTCTGCGCGTCTTCCGAACTGACCGCCGCTGCCGCTGCCCAGTGGTGATGATGAGGTGCGTTGAGGGTGCTCTGCACGAAAGTGATATTCGCTTCCATATATGCCATGCGTCATGGTAGTGCCGTCGTGTCCTCGGGCATTGCGGCGCCTGCCTCTCTCCTTGCCCGTGAAGCGTATGTCCTTGCTCCGTCCTGTTCCATTTAAATGCGTCTGATCTACTTGGGCATCTGAGGGTTCCATGAGATATGCGTACTTTTGGGCGCCTTTGCCCTTGCCCTGGCCCTTTCTGGCGAATGTGCTGTTGGGTTTGATGAATCTACGAACCGTGCGCGTTGGGCTATGCCTGCGTCTGCGCCATTGGCGCGTCGTCGATTTAGCTTGCCAGCGAGGCAAGGGCTAAGCCTTGGAACTCTGCGGTCTGAAAATTTACCTCTTTGTCTAGGTCAGCATTTGTGTCTGAGGAGGTGCTGCTGACATCGTCGGCCCCGTCCGCGGGCGCCCGCGCGGCGGCGGGGCATGCCGCCCGCAGTGGCGTGGCGCTCTGCGACGGGTCGGTGGCGTATGTGATGGCGCCTCCGGCGCTGGGGGGCATGGCGGCGCTGGCTGCCCAAGGGCCGAGGCCCTGGATGTGCCAGGGGCCCGTTGTGGGTGCGTTGTTACTGTTGTTATTGGTCATGCCCGCGAAACGAAGCCTCCGAACGACGGCGGCGAACGAAGAGCGCTGGCGACGTTGTTTGGCGCATGCTCCACGATGTGGCTCGCGAGCCTGAACATCGTCGTGAGTCAGTTGAACTGAAGCTCTGTGTTGCCGAGGAGCTTCGGCAGCGTCATGAGTTGACTAACGGAGACGCCGACCGCTCCGAGAAGCAGCCCGCTGTAGCCTTCCCAAGTCATCGTAGCTCCACCGTCGTACGTAGCCAAGACCGCGAGAGTAGCGCATCGGTGGTCTCGTTGCAGCGCCTCGAGAACTCGAAATGTTCGCGGGTTGCCTGGATACGCGACTTCTCTCCCAATGGACCGACATGAATGGCGAGGTTCGCGATGAGGTCGGTCACGGCATTCTCGTGCTGGCCGTGGACCATGCCTCCCTCCATAATTTCCGTGAAGCTCATGGAACGCGTGACCCCGCGAGTGGCCCCGCCAAGGTTGAGGATTACGGCAGCGCGCTGCTTATCGCTGTCCATGTCCGCAACGAACACGCTCTACGAGCGCAAAACCAGTACTCAGTGGCGAAATGGATCTGCTGGCTCGCTCTCGACCATGCGGGCGTCTGGCGGGAAGTGATCCCACCGCGTCCGCCTCCGCCGCCCTGTAGGCCGGCTCCACCAGGCATCGTGCCGGTGAGCCAGAAGGGCGATCACGAAAAATAGGAGGATGCTGCCCAAGCGTCAAACTGGATATCCTCCTCGACTGCGGGGGCGCTTTTGGGTTGGGCCTGTGCAGGGACGAACTCCATGTCGACCTTTGCGAAATCTTGGTCGTGCTGGCAACCTTGGGGTGCTCCCCTCGAGTGGTGCGACGTGCTCGCAAGAACGGCCAGCACCGTCGCACAGGTCACGAGGCACGGTATTAGCCCAGGCAAAGCCTCGCGGTCGTGCCAGGCGTGGAACCACGGCCAAAACGTGTGGGGTTGTGAAGGTTGTAGGGTGTCGTGGCACCCTCCTGGGCAAACACAAACTCCACGGCGCCTTCGGCTGCTGATGTCCTCACAGCTGGATCCTCACGGGGTCTCGAGCAGTGTTGCTTATCTGTGGGCACTCACGACGAATTACGCGTAGGCTTGCAGAACAGCCACAACCACAAGCTGTTCAAATATTGGAGGGTGGCACCCATGCGGAAGTGAAGTGTGAACGTGCGTCCGCATCGCCTTTTGCGCACATTCCTTGGATCGCGAGCTGGGATCGCTCCCAGCTCCACTACTACCTAGAGTTGCGAGGAGTGGAAGCTTGACAAGAGAACGCATGGCGGCAACAACATGTAGAACTGCTGACTTTTCAATCAAGTCACCAATACAATTTGCACGCGCTGGCGCTGCAGCCAAACGGAGGCAGAGTATCAGATTTGAGTGAAGACGAGGAGGAGGCGGAGGAGGAGGAGGAGGACGAGGATGAGGAGGGAGGCGAAGGATGACGAGGAGGACGGGGGGGACGTGGGAGGAGAACGACACCCGATGGCGCCTGCCCTCGAAGGGCTGCAGCCGCATCCGCAGGTCCTCGAACACCATCTGCATCTCCTTGTCGGGCAGGTTCTCGCTGCTCCTGCGCGGGCCGGGTGCTGAGCCCGCTTGGATCGCCAGCGGTTAATTCAAAGGACAGCTCAGCCGCATCGCTAACTCGCGTGAGGCCCTCGAGGAGGAAACTTATGTCGAGCCTCGACTCACTTTGTCCAGAAACGGGGTGCCTGATGGGGTTGCGCGCGTGGGTGCGCTCCAAAAAAAAGGTTTCGACAGCTGCGGACCGCACGGGATCCGCAGAGGGGGCGGGAGCAACAGGGAGGGTGCCCCGAGATTTGCACGTCGCCTCTCTTTCGCATCGGGCGGTGTCACCCTGTCTCCGGCCCTGGGACCCTCTCAGATCGATCTGTCTCGAGAGATGCCGCAGAAAAGGTAGGGTCTAGAGCTCTGGCTGTGATTTTCCACGGTGTTGCGTTTTTTTCCCCATTCGTCGGATCTCCAGGGAGATCGGTGGGGGGAGGGAAGAAGGGCGCGAGCAAGAGAAACGGGAAAGAGGAAATAGGGGGAACGAGCCCCGCAAGAGGCCCCTCAAAAGGCCTCCAAAGAGGACCTCCTGAAGGGGCCGGGAGCCGAATGAGGGGGACACACGTCGGGGAGGGAGCGAGTATGAGATCGACTGCGAAATATGTGTACCTCACAAATGTTATGGGAACCGAAGGAGGGGGAAACGTCGGGGAGGGATCGAGCATGATATCGACTACAGCATGGATGGAGCTCAGAATGTTTTTTTTTTCGTCGAGTGGCAGCAAGTAGATTTCATGTTTGTAGATCTGCGCCCTGCGCACTCTCTTTCCTCCATATCCGGCGAGACAGCGATTTTGGTGTACATCGATCCTGTGGTCGATCTCTTAGTCGAAGGGAAGGAGGGCGCGAGCAAGAGGGAGGGGGGTACATCGATCCTGTGGTCGATCTCTTAGTCGAAGGGAAGGAGGGCGCGAGCAAGAGAGGGAGGGGGCGCGAGCAAGCGGGAGGCGGCCGGCGGCCCCAAGAGGGGGCCCCCCCCAGCATGGCCCGCAGGGGCCCGCGGCCCAGCGAACCACAGCCCTCCCCGCCATGCGCTCTCAATCATAGCTGCCCCGATACGCAACACGCAGCACGCAGCGTATTGGTACGGAGCTCAACACGCAGGCTGAAAACGCAGGTCCGACGCAGCACGGGCGTATCGAGGCAACTAAGCTCCCAATCCGAGGAGGGGAACGAAAACATGCTCGACTTACCCCCAAACTGATGTGCTCGTCTAATTTGAAACAGTTGCGTCGACTACTCGTAGATCTGCGTCACGTTCTGCGCATGTGTCGTCGATTCGCCGAACATTTGAACTTTTGTGTGTCTCAATTCTGTAGCCGAGCACTTTTGGGTGTATCAATTCTGTAGCCCTCTCCTATTCGACCCATAGCGGTTGGCCAGAACCACGGTTGGGAACGCGCTCGTCGTGCGACAATTAGAAAAGCTGAGTGAGGAACGAAGGGGGCTTTCCTGGCCATGGCGATCTACGGCCACGGGGAAGCTTCCCGACCTGGACCTCTGGAGCGGCCCGGAATCCAGAGAGCCCCTCCCGAGGCTACAGATTTCCCCCTTGAGCTCTCTGCAGTCCTGACGGCCAGTGTCGCCTGCTCACCTCCCTTCAGCAGCTTCCACCGCAGGTAGTCCAGGATGCCACCAGGGTGGCCCACGTGGCCAGACAGTGCCAAGACGGCCTCAAGGTGGCCCAAGAAGGGGCCCCATGAAGGATCCCACGATTACCTCCAAGATGGCCATCGGCGCCTCAAGAGAGCACCACGCACTGCCCCCCCGTGGCCCAAAGCAGTCGAAAGACCCGCGGGATCCCGTACTTTCCCTATCCCGCGAGGGATGGGAAAACTGCCAATGCCCAAAGTTGGCGCGCCCCACGGGATGCCCTTACGCGCGCGCGCGCGTACACCACATCTCGAGAGACAGCCCCCAAGGGGCACCCTCGCGCCCACAGAAGGCTGCCCCCCCCCCCCCCCCCACACACACAGATCTCTAGGCTTCCAAGTCGTTCGGCTCCGTGTGGCCCCGAGAGGGCCTCGGAGAACCCAGGATGATCAGGAGCAGCAGACGGAGGGACACTCCAATGTCCCAGGCTCGTCAGCGATGGCATCAAGAGCAGCAGCAGCAGCAACAGCTGGGCGTCCCTGGGAACTGCCGCGGCTGTGGCCGCTGAGATCCGACGTCGCGAAACATTTGGAACGTCGTCACAAATCACGATCGGGACCCTCGACCTCTTCTTTTTGTGACGTTTTGCTAGCCGGATCGATCTGTGATGGTCTTAGGGCCCGAAGCTGGGCGAAGACTCTCAGCGTGAAGCAAAAACCGCAACGCCAAGGTCTCAGGGGCGGCTGTGCCAGAAGCTACCAGCCTGAAGCATAACACTGTCCCCGCGCTCGGCACCACCTCGCCTCCATGCCGATCTTGAAGATCCCCTGAGTCTCTGAGGACTCATCCCTACGATTGTCATCGCCTTTTGGGCTGTCGATCTGAAGGATGGGGGTGCATGCCGATCGGAAGAGGAAGGCTAGTAAACCATGAAGCAGGAAGGCGGATCAAGCAGATCGGGGTCAGGCCCTCCATGAGAACAAAGAAACACAAGCAAGAAGAAATTCCAACGACCGGCGTGTAAGCTCGAGGCTTGCCAAGACTTCAATCGGGCCAGTCCCCCTACAGGGGGATTTTCGAGGAAAAATGAGAAATACCCAAAAAATGCCCCAAAAAGGTAAACAAATATTCAAAAAAACAATCCCCAGAGTATTTTTCCCCATATCCTAAGATGGGGTTCTTGTTATTACTTGGACGCCTCCTACTCCTTCTCCCTCCTCCTCCTCTTTCCTCCTCCCCTCCTGTTGGACTTACTCATACTCAGACTTGCTCATACTCAGACTTACTCATACACAGACTTACTCATACTCAGACTTACTCATACTCAGACCTACTCATACTCAGACTTACTCACACTCAGACATACTCATACACAGACTTACTCATACACAGACTTACTCACACCCAGACGTACTCATACACAGACTCACTCATACCCAGACTTACTCATACACAGTATTAGTCATACTCAGACTTCGCTTGGAGAGCAGATTGTGAGGATGTCTCAGGCGGGGCGCTGGTTTCAGCACCCCTAAGGGGAGCCGCCAGGGGTGTTTGCACGGGCTCGTTCGCGGCCATTTTGTGGGGATGTCTCAGGCGGTTTGCTTGTTTCTGGGCTCAACATCCTTCGCTTGGAGAGCAGATTGTGAGGATGTCTCAGGCGGGGCGCTGGTTTCAGCACCCCTAAGGGGAGCCGCCAGGGGTGGTTGCACGGGCTCGTTCGCGGCCATTTTGTGGGGATGTCTCAGGCGGTTTGCTTGTTTCTGGGCCCAACATCCTTCGCTTTCGGAGCAGATTTGGAGGATGTCTCGAGCGAGGCGCTCATTTTCACCCCCCAGGTGGGCCAGATTTTGAGGATGTCTCGATCGGTTTGCTTGTTTTGGTGGCCAGGCTCGTGGCCCTAAGGGGAGCCGCCAGGGGTGGTTGCACGGGCTCGTTCGCGGCCATTTTGTGGGGATGTCTCAGGCGGTTTGCTTGTTTCTGGGCCCAATATCCTTCGCTTTCGGAGCAGATTTGGAGGATGTCTCGAGCGAGGCGCTCATGTTCACCCCCCAGGTGGGCCAGATTTTGAGGATGTCTCGAACGGTTTGCTTGTTTTGGTGGCCAGGCTCGTGGGCGCAGATTCTTCTCAGGATGCCACAGGAGGCTCCAACATGCTCCAGGAGGCCCCAGGAGACCACATGAGGTCCCAGGAGGCATCAGGAGGCCACAGACAAACTCAAGAGGCCACAGGATGTCCCAAGAGGCTCCAGGAGGCCCCAGGAAGCTCCAGAAGGCCTCAGGAAACCACAGGAGGCCCCAGGAGGCAACAGGAAGCGCCAGGAGGCCTCGGAAGGCAACAGGAGGCCCCGAGAGGCCCCAGGAGCAGGAGGCCTCAGAAGGCAACAGGAGTGGCTCCAATCCCATGTGTTTTACGTATGCTCCTATCGATTGGGCCTCACCTGGAGCACGATTCTTTGATGTTCTACGTATGTTTCTATAGATGGTCCTTCTCCTGTGTACACAATCCTAAATGTTTTACTCATGTTCCTATATATTGGGCCTCTCCTGGGGCACGAGTCCTTGGTGTTTTACGCGTGTTCCTATAGATTGCCCTTCTCCTGTGGCTCTAATCCGCAATGTTTTATGTACGTCTGTTGCTGTAGATTGCGCCTCTCCTGGGGCACGAAACCTTCCTAGGAGGTCCCAGGAGGTCCCAAGAGGCTCCTGGAGACCCCAGGAAGCCCCAGTAGGTTTCAGGAGGCCCCAGGAGGCCCCAGGCTCATGCACAGAGACGCGCTTGTACTACTGAGGCTCAGTCACACTCCAATTCATTCGCAATTAGATTGATGTCCAGACCGTCACAACTGAAGCCCGTTACTATTCGAAAGCTCTTGCGCGTAGACATTCACGGCGGACAGGTCCATGCGAGTAGATGCACATATGGGGAGCTCCACGCAGTGAATAATTTGATTATTTTTTGATTATTTTGGGGGTATTTCCCCATATCCTAAGATGGGGTTCTTGTTATTACTTGGACGCCTCCTACTCCTTCTTCTTCTCCCTCCTCCTCTTTTCTCCTCCCCTCCTGTCGGACTTACTCATACTCACACTTGCTCATACTCAGACTTACTCATACACAGACTTACTCATACTCAGATTTACTCATACTCAGACCTACTCATACTCAGACTTACTCATACTCAGACATACTCATACACAGACTTACTCATGCACAGACTTACTCATACCCAGACGTACTCATACACAGACTTACTCATACCCAGACTTACTCATACACAGTATTACTCATACTCAGACTTACTCATACCCAGACGTACACATACACAGACTTTCTCATACACAGACCTACTCATACCCAGACTTACTCATACACAGACTTACTCATACACAGACTTACTCATACTCAGGCATACTCATACTCAGACCTACTCATACTCAGACTTACTCAACACACATCAGATTTGGAGGATGTCTCAAGCGGGGCGCTGGTTTCAGCACCCCTAAGGGGGGCCGCCAGGGGTGGTTGCACGGGCTCGTTCGCGGCCATTTTGTGGGGATGTCTCAGGCGGTTTGCTTGTTTCTGGGCCCAACATCCTTCGCTTGGAGAGCAGATTGTGAGGATGTCTCAGGCGGGGCGCTGGTTTCAGCACCCCTAAGGGGAGCCGCCAGGGGTGGTTGCACGGGCTCGTTCGCGGCCATTTTGTGGGGATGTCTCAGGCGGTTTGCTTGTTTCTGGGCTCAACATCCTTCGCTTGGAGAGCAGATTGTGAGGATGTCTCAGGCGGGGCGCTGGTTTCAGCACCCCTAAGGGGAGCCGCCAGGGGTGGTTGCACGGGCTCGTTCGCGGCCATTTTGTGGGGATGTCTCAGGCGGTTTGCTTGTTTCTGGGCCCAACATCCTTCGCTTGGAGAGCAGATTGTGAGGATGTCTCAGGCGGGGCGCTGGTTTCAGCACCCCTAAGGGGAGCCGCCAGGGGTGGTTGCACGGGCTCGTTCGCGGCCATTTTGTGGGGATGTCTCAGGCGGTTTGCTTGTTTCTGGGCCCAACATCCTTCGCTTGGAGAGCAGATTGTGAGGATGTCTCAGGCGGGGCGCTGGTTTCAGCACCCCTAAGGGGAGCCGCCAGGGGTGGTTGCACGGGCTCGTTCGCGGCCATTTTGTGGGGATGTCTCAGGCGGTTTGCTTGTTTCTGGGCTCAACATCCTTCGCTTGGAGAGCAGATTGTGAGGATGTCTCAGGCGGGGCGCTGGTTTCAGCACCCCTAAGGGGAGCCGCCAGGGGTGGTTGCACGGGCTCGTTCGCGGCCATTTTGTGGGGATGTCTCAGGCGGTTTGCTTGTTTCTGGGCTCAACATCCTTCGCTTGGAGAGCAGATTGTGACGATGTCTCAGCGGGGCGCTGGTTTCAGCACCCCTAAGGGGAGCCGCCAGGGGTGGTTGCACGGGCACGTTCGCGGCCATATTGTGGGGATGTCTCAGGCGGTTCGCTTGTTTCTGGGCTCAACAGGGAGGGAAATGACAGGAACGAGGATGAGGAGGAGGAACAGGAGGAGGAGGAGGAGGCGGGGGATCGTGAGGAAGGGCATGGGGGTGCGGAGGGGGAGGGGGAGCAGGAGGATGAGGAGGAGGAGCAGGAGCAGGAGAAGGGAGGGGGCGGAGGAACAGGAGGAGGAGGAGGAGGAGGAGGAGGAGGAGGAGGAGGAGGAGGAGGAGGAGGAAGAGGAGGAGGAGGGCGCTTTGCTCGAAGGTCCTTGACGCGAGCAAAACGTTTGTTCCGAAGTCCAGGACATATATATATATATATATGTGTATATATATATATATGTATATATATATATGTACTCATAGGGGGTGACTGCGAGGGGGGGCGGTGGTTGTGTGCGGGGATCGTTGGAAATGCTCACCGTGGCACTATCCTCCAACATGACATGCACTTATGGCCTTGTGTGGCTAAACGCTCGTCTTACATATCCCACTGCCAACTATCCTACAACATATGTGCATGTGGGAAGCTCCAAAGCTACCACGGGCTGAAAAGGGGAAGGCCTGGCAGCTGAGGAGGGGGGATCAAGAGGAAGAGGCTCGCATTCAACCGTACTCAAAGCTCACTCTGACTCATACGCAATCACTCGCATTAGGGGTCACTCGTCTTCGTCGGCCCTGTCGCCCACGTGGACGCGCTATTGTAGTCGACCGCTCATGAACAGACGCTCGCCACGGCATGACATAAAACATGAGATGCACATATGGGGAGCTCCACGCAGTGAGTAATTTTTATTTTTCGTCGACAATCCCATCCCCTTGTAGGGGGACAGGCCCGACTTAAGCCAAGACGAGGCCCCCTGCCCCTCGCCGGCCTCCTGCGGTCCGCGGGCGGCCCGTCGGAGGCCGGTGCCCGAGCGGAGTCTGCGGGATCGAGGCGGAGAGGACGAGCGCCCGTCCCGAAGACGCCGCGTGGTGAGCGAGAAGCACGGGAGGGGGAGGAGGAGGGAAGAGGAGGAGGAGGAGGCTGAGGTTGAGGTTGAGGTTGAGGAGGAGGAGGAGGAGGAGGAGGAGGAGGAGGAGGAGAGGAGGAGGAGGAGGAGGAGGAGGAGGAGGAGGAGGAGGAGGAGGAGGAGGAGGAGGAGGGAGGAGGAGGAGGAGGAGGAGGAGGAGGAGGAGGAAAGCGCCACGAACCGCCAAGCGATTGAGGCGCGTCAGTGGCAGTGTGCCGACCCACCGGCCACGACTCCCCGCCATCTCATCTTACGGTCCGATTTCTATACCCCTACTCTTTTACATCCCTCATCTGTCACTTATTACATTTTGATTCTCTCGCGCGTTGCGCGGCGCCACTTGCTGGGCCATCTGGCCAATCACTACCGCGGCTTCGACGACTGCGCCTAACGCCCGTGCCCATCAGCTCCCGACGGCCACACCACCCGGCCAGACACACTCCACCAAGATTCCGAACACATCGCCAAATCCCGCCTGGCATCGCACGGAACGGGAAAGGAGAGCAGCAGTAAAAAAGACGACTAAGAGTACAGGGCCCACCATCCCAGACACAGTGCAGCCGGCCCCATCGCTACCAGAAGCCGCGGCCGACTCGGAGGCCCCCTCGGGGGCCTCAGCCCCGGACGCCCCAGAAAGGGCCGCTGCTGCTAGGTGGGATGCCGGCATCGGCCTGCCCAGATCCCACGGGCAGAGCACCGGGAATCCAGGGTCTCGCTTCGGCGGATGGCCTCGGGCGCTCCAGCGGCGCCAATGCAATCCAAGCCCTCGCGGCGCGTCGAACCCGACGGACGGCCAGCCTCCGGCCCCAGGACCCGGCCGGCGGCGCGGAGGGCGATCGCAATCGCCTCTTGCCGAGCACGATTTTGGACTGCGCTCTGATTCGCCGAGGAGACGGTCAGCTTGGTGCGGCACTCACTAGTTGCTGGCAGAAACACGCGGTATCTAGCAGCACGGGCGCCAAGGTTTGGTGAATCTCCCCGCCCCTGGGGCATGGCGGAGAGGAGGGAGGAGGAGGAGGGAAGTCTCAGCCGCGCGCGCGCGCCATCAGCCCCTGGAGGGTTGTCGGGGCGCACTCCGTCCGCTCGAAGCGCGCGCGGGCCGCTTCGGAAGGCGCCGGAGCCGTGCAGAGCGTGCAGGAGGCCCGGGCGCCGCCGCGCTTCGCGGTGTCGCGCCTGCTCTGCACCGGCCTGCGCGGGCGCAGCCTTTGGCGGGCCGGCGCGAGAGCTGGAGGCCAGCTCCTTCGCTTGGTCCGAAAGCGAGCCAACCACGAAGGGACAGGAACGCTATGCACCGACGTTTTCTACGGCCCCGCGCTGGAATTCGCACAAGGAAGCTGATCCTGGTGTATGCGGGATCCTGGTGTCTACATTTTTCGTCGTTCCCATGGGAAAGCGGGGAAAATAGTATACACCACACCACTCCGACGTCGTCCCCGACCCTCAAATAGTTCTGGGACTGAATAACAACCCGCCACTGGTAGTGTATATGTTCCAGTTTCCGACCACCATCATTCATGGAATAAGTTTGGCCTCTAATTTAGCATCGCTCATCTTCGCGCGGAACGCGTCGATAAGTGTTGTTGGAAGGCGACGAGACGGGGCCCGATCATCGCGAAGGAGTCGGCCCGGGCGGTGCCGCACAAACCACATGGCTGCCTGCTGTCCTGACCAAGGCAGTCCAAGACACCAAGATGGCCAGGGTACGGACCGCGGAAGAAGAGCAGGAGGCCGTCGTCGCCGGACCGAAGTGTGAAGGCAGAGCCGAACTCCCGTGTGCTCTGCAGAGCTCGGGAACTTCAAGAAGAGGAGTAGAGTTGGAGGCCTGGACATGGGCACCAACACCAAGACAGGGGGCTGCCTCCACATGGGGGGAGATGATCCTAGATTTCGGTGTTGGTGGTCATATTTCGGTGACCTTGGGCGCCAGAATTTTACCACCATCGCCGAGATCGGGGTCCTCTTTCCTCGGTGGAGGAACACCGCCGATATTGGTGCTAGTCCTGCGATAGAGACTTTTTTGATCCGCGCACCTCTTCCAGTCGAAGCCAAGCGGTCCGCGCACAGCTTTAAATAACAGAGGGGGGAAGGCAGAAGGAGGGGCCTCACGTCAAGGCCAAGAGAGGGCAAAGCCCTGGAATCAGGCGGTGCCGAAGACGATGTGCTTGCAAAAGAACGCCTTGAACAGGAACCCGGTGGCGAAGTACTGGAAGAAGCAAAATGCTGCCTGCGATAGAGACACGCATGGAGAGAAGGCTGCCCCGCCTATCTCCTCTCGAAGAGGCCCCTGATGACCAATCGGCCTCCCCGGGCGGCCTGGGGAACGCGGCGGGCGAAGTCCTCGCGGGCGTGCTCCATGTGCTCTGGCACTCCTGCGGCGTGGGGCCTGCGCTCTGTGGAGGGCGATCCGGGGTTGGGAGGAGGAGGAGGAGGAGGAGGAGGAGGAGGAGGAGGAGGAGGAGGAGGAGGAGGAGGAGGAGGACGAGGAGGAGGAGGAGGAGGAGGAGGAGGGAGGAGGAGGAGGAGGAGGAGGAGGAGGAGGGAGGAGTGCGATGCGAAGAGCACGGCGCGCCCCGCTGCCCCCCCCCCCCCCCCAAGCGGGGCTCCTATAGCCGTGCGCGATGTGGATGTACGGGTCGACCTCGGCCGCGCGCGCGGCGCGGAGTCCCGCACGCGTAGCCAAGGGAAAACTGGACTCCAGCTTTCCCCTGCAAAGGGCAGCATGCTGCAGAAGGGCCGTTTTTTCACAACCCAAGTTTAGGTTAGTGTTTAGTTCTATTGTCGATGGAGGAGCAAAAAGTGGCAGGCAAGTGAGCTTTCGGAGGTCTGGCGAGGGCGGTGGGCCTGGGAGTGGAGGAAGGCGAGGCCGGGACGACGAGACATCCGGACGAGGAAGGCGAGAAGCTCTGAGAGCCCTCGGCTCTGGAAGACGCATCGGGCGCCGCGGCCTTCCCAGAGCGTTCCGGAAGCTCCGAGAGCATTCTAGACAACCCTGGAACGGATATATCCCTGTCCAGGCCCCGCCCGATGGAGGGGCTCGCCATGGGCAGACCCATGGGGTGGGGTCGGGTCTCAGCTGCATGGCCTTTTTATACTGCGACCTGTCCTTCTGCTACTCCCTGCATGGCCCAAACCACCCCCTCACGCATCCACTCCGTGCCGTGCCGCTATCTTGCGAGTCCGTTCCGTGCCTCGCCGGGCCGTGCCACCAACTCGCGAATCAGCTGGGCGGTGCCGTGCCGTGCCGTGTCCTGTCGTGTTGCGCCGTGTCGCGTCGCGTCCCAGCACTGGCCGCTCGGGGTCTCCCAGCGCGGTGGGTAGCGTGATGAGTAACGAGACCAGCGTGTCATGCAACAGTGACCAAACCCAGCACGGGATGTCCAATACTGAAGCCCGATTCTGGATGCTGCTCTCAGTTGACTCGATGTTGTACGGCACTGCGTGCTCAATCTTGCACACACTCCGTTGCACTCTGAGGATAAGCATCATTCGAGCAGCCCGCAATAGACAAAACGCACTGCGAAACAACATTACTTCGTGCTATTCCGTCCCGTGGCAACTGCCAACGAGCAACGACGATTAAATTGCCACGTTGCTGGCGTTGCGAATTCAACCTCTCCCTTGTGCAAGTCTCCGGCTGGCACGCCAGCCTTGCAATTAACACTCTCGCTCAAAACCAACGACGTGAGCACTGAATGCTTGCAAATTCATCCTCGGTGGTCTCGGCTATCCAAGGCATGCGCTTGCAAGCGTATCTTCATGGGCGTAAAACGCTGCGAACACATTGCGCCACACAACATTTCTTTTCCCAAGAAAAAAAGATATCCCCCCTCCCTCCCCCGGACTCAACGGGTCACCTTTCCGTATTGTTTTGTATTATTGATTCTGCACATTCGTCATTCGTCCAACCTGTACATGAAGTCATATCATCCCAGGCAATCTGGTCATCCTCTGCAAGTAAAACACTCTGCGCGCACACTCGTTTAATATAAATCAGCACTTTCCCAAAAAAACGTTCCAAACATACGGGACGAGCTCCACATGGGCGCGTCGTCGCACACATGCCGGAACCCTTCAAACACCTCAGGTGTCGTATGGATTTCAATTCGAGATGGTTTTTCCACATAGCAGTATACGCCTGCACTTCCGATGTCGGTAAGACTATTAGCTATTCAACATGTTCATCAACTTCTGCCAAGCGGGCCTCTCGCGCGCACTTGTTGCGCGGACACTCACGTATCACAAATCACATCTTTCCAGACATCCTTTGCAACAAACGGAACGAAGTGCACACGTTTGCGTCGTCGCGAGCGCATGCCGAAATCGGTTAAACGCTTCAGGTTTCGCAGGGGTGTCAAAATCGAGTGTCCCGAACACATAGAAATCATGGTTTCGAGACGTGGTTTTTCAAAAGGAAAGTATGTGCGCGCACTCTTTCGAATTATTCAATCAACCATTTACGTTTTCAAACATCAACGAATGCGACCAAGCAGGCCTCTCCCGCGCACGTGTTGCGCGCACGCTCGTTTATCACGAATCATAGGTTCCCAACCTTTTGTAACACACGGGGCGAAATACTCACGCGAGCGTCGTCGTGCGCGCATGTCGAGATATTTCGAACATTTCGAGTTTCGTACGGATTTCAAAACCGAGTGCCCCGAACACGTAATAACACACGAGTGGTTGCACAACCTGTTTTTTTCAAGCAAACGTATGCGCGCGCGCTCTGTCGAACTCTCGAGAAAACCATGAAGGCGGTTCAGCCATCTATTATAACATGCGACCAGACGGGCCTCTCGCGCGCGCGTCGAAATCATTCGAACGCCCTTGCGCGCGTGCTGGGTGGTGGGTGGGTGGGGTGGGTGATCCCTGTCAAATAATACAATGTGGGCCATTCGCGCGCGTCGTCTGCTCACGCGCGCCGAAACCTTTCAAAAGCTGCATCGCCGACGCGAGGGCGCCATCATCGTCGCTGGCGTAATCGGCATCGGCGCTGTTATTGCCCGAGCAGTCGTCATCGTCATCATCGTCACCAACATCGCCATTCTCATCGTGCCTGCCGTTGTCGACGTCGCCATGATACCGCGCCCGCCCGAGTCACCGACTCGTCCTGGTGTGCCAGCGCGTCAGCGCGGCCTGCGAGACGCGCGGGGAAGTTCCCAGCGCTCAGCGCCACCGCGGCCGCGTCGGTCGCGCCAGACAAGTCTTCCGATCTAGACCCCTCTAAACCCCCGGCTCCCTCGAGCCCCGTGCGTGTGCTCTTCGAGCCTTCCCTAGGACTTCCAGAGATCGATCGAAAAGCTCGAAGCATTTTTCTGACCAGTTCTGGATGTGAAAAATGGTGCCGCAAAGAATCAAGTAGCGACGTGACGCCGCCCCGCGCGAGCCTCCGACGGGGCCGCGCTGGGGCCAGGGCCCCGGGGGGTCGGCAGCCAACCTTCGCGAGGGCGGCTGCAGCGAAGCAGCCGGGCCGATCCGAAGGTCCAAGGATGTGCGTAGTGCATCCGAGACTCGCGCTGATTCTTTCGATGTCGACTTGTTTTCCTTCGCGGCGATCCCGCGAACCCCAGGGCCGCATGGGTTGGCCTGGACAGCGAGATCCCGAAGGATGAAGTGCTGAGATTCCACTCTTGATCCGAGCCTCCTGATCGCCTTCTGCCGCCGTAGCTCCGGCCAGCTCTCCGCTGCCGGTCAGGTGCCCGATGCTCGAGGGCCCCCCTTCTCGTCGTGGGCGAGCTAGGTCTCCATCTCCCTCGCGGCGGCCTCGGACCCGGCCTCGCGGATGCGAGCCGCCGTCCGCGTGATCTCCTCGTCGCTCAGGGTGCCTGAGGTCCGCGGCGGAGCCGCTTGGCCCGCGTGGACCGCGTGGAGCTGCCCTGCCATGCTGTGCATATGGTTGAAGAGGTTCTTCATCTAGTTGGACTGCAGCGTTCTGGAATGTGCCGCATGGGCCGACGTCGAAATGGTCGCCCTAGGCGGCGGGCCCCGGACATGCTCTCCACGCGCGTCGGCGGCGCCCCAGGTGTCAGCTGAGACGGCTCGGCGGCTCTGGCCCGATATTGCGCGAGGGCCCTCGCCTGGCCCCGCTGCGATGAGCTGCGGCCCGCCCCCATTGCCGAAAGCCTCTCGCGCCCGGGCCCACTGCCCGCGGGGCTTCGCGGGGGGCCGGCAAAGCCTGCCGCGGTCCCGCCCCCGAGTGGGCGCCCACCATCAGCTTCGCGTCGGACTCCTTCTGAAGGGCCGCTCGTTCTTCGCCTGCTTGGCGAACATGTTGGCGTCTGTTTTCGCCTTGTCTTGATTGGGTCTTGTCTCGAAGAAGCGGCCTCTGTTTGCGCATCTGGTGTCGCGCATGCACGCCCATCGCGTTCGCGCTTTCGCGGCCCCGGGTGGGCGTGGGCAAGTGCCCTGGTCGCCCGGCATCATCCCCGCCACCTCTGGCCGCGTGATCGCGGCCTCGTTGGCGCCGATGCAGCCAGTTGCGATGTGCAGCAGGCGCGACGCCCATCGCCTCCAGGCTAACTGAACTCAACTCAGGACCGGCACGCCGTTCAGGGAATTGTCCTCGACCCGCTGGCTCATCTCCTCTGGGGGGAGGTCCAAGCCCTGAAGGTCCTCCGACAGCTCCTCCCAGACGTCGAGCTCCTCGTCCTCATGGTGCTTCCTCAGCGCAGCTGCTGCTCTTTCCATGGGCCGCGACCGGGCCGCTGCCTCCATCGCGCCCGTCTTCGCCGCGACGAAATCCGAGGCGGCCCGAGAGACGTGGCGTGCTCAGACTCTGAGGAGAGCCACGGAGTCCGACCCAGAGCGTTGGGCCCCCGTTCCCTCGGGGCCCGCGACGTCGCGCGCGTCCGTGGATAGGAAAGGAAACGCCGGCTCAAACCTATGCGATGCCCGCCCCCCCCCCCCCCCCCCCCCCCCGATCGCGTCTTTCTGAAGCGTCTCCAGGGCGCCGCCCGTGACCTCGTTTGGCGCGCCGAAGTCCTCGGGCTCGCAGAGGGCGAAGCTCGTCGAGCGGCGCCCGCTGACGTGCCTGATCAGCGGGCAGATGGCCTTGTCCTCGCCCCGCAGAACTGCCGTGTCAATCGCCGCGCGCAGGGCCTCCAGCAGCCGAGCGGGTAGGACAGGAGGGCGGCGCTCCGCGCTTCCAGATGCTGATCGGGGCCCGCGCTGGAGCAGCGGGGTCTAATTTGCCTCCGAGTCTGCTCGCCGTCGCGCCCGTGGCCAGATCCTCTGGTGCCTGGATGCGGAAGCCGCGGCGCTCGAACGCCTCCTTCATCGCCGCGAGGCCCTCCTTGCCGATGAACGCCTGTCTCTGTTGCTTCGAACATGGCAATGGCTGAGCGAGTCACTGTGTGGCCCTCCTTTCCTCAAGCATGCGTTCTCACTTTATCCCGTTCGGTGGGCTCTGGCAGGCTCCTTGCTCATTCTGTCGGGCTTTCGCCTCGTCTGGCAGGGTCGACGCGTGCTCTTCGCCCTCGGCGACCTCGGCGTCTCGTCGTAAGATGAAGTCGGTGCCGCTCTCATTTTTCTTCAGCGCGTAATTGAAGAGAGCGGCGTTCTGTGCGAATCTCTGCTTGTCGCCAGGCCGTTTGCAGTTTCGTAGTGAACAAGTGTTGGGGGCAGCTTCTCTACGCCATCTTACTCGTCCGAGGTCGTTCGTGTTATCGTGAATCTAGCCCGGGAATCTACTGGTTGACCCTCTAGAACGCATCCTGCGGGGTCTTGGACTTGAGTCTGGTTCGTTTTCTTCAGGCAGTCAAATTGTGACTGGAGGTCTCCAAATGGTCGAGCCCCAGCCGCGGCGGGGGCGCTCCAGAGTGTCGATTGGAAATGTAACTCTTCTGCTGGTAGTGCGTCCATGGTTTGTCTCCATCTGTCGGTCCGTAATGTCCACGCTCATGGCTAGTAGTTAGCGTTTCCAAGCATCGTCTCCACTTTTCGGTCCGTAATTTGTCCAAACTAGTGTTGGCCGCTCGTTCTGCCACTTCCGGTCCAAGGGTGAACGTCAACCGCTCGGCGTGCAATCCATGGACGACGTGGCCCATGTCCACGGTGGCACTGGAGCTGCGCATGGTCTTGCCTGAGCTGGTGGTGGACAGGATCGGAGGCCTGGCATCGAAATCTCAGCCCATGGACTGGTGCCCGTCTCGGTCGTCGTCGCTGGTGCCGCCGAATGGTGCCTGTGCCGCAGCTGGAGCTGCTGCTGCTGGCGGTGCCCGTTCCACTTGATATTCTTCTGGCAATGGCAGCGGTCTTGATGGCAGCGCCGAAACCTTCCATGGTTGCCGCTGGCCTCTCAGACATTGCTCCGCTTACCATCGTCGCGCCACCGTCACATACCTAGGGGCACATCGACCGACAAAACCTAAGTGGTGGAGAAGCGCAGGGGATCTTTCCTGCGACTCGAGGGCGCAACCAAATCATGCTGCACACGCGCAAACCCTAAGCGGCTACGGGAGTGATCCCAATGGGGAGAGGAAAAACACAACATACGAGCCAACTCGGCCCGCGGGGAAACACCTGGAATCAACGGGAAGGCGGATGAAATGGCTGCAAACACTGTGGTAAAAAAGGTGTGGCAACAGTGGCAGTAACAAAAGGCGGCGGTGGCACTTACAACTGCGGCCAATATGCACACCGACATGCAGCTCGGAGCAGTTCGATCAAAAAGAACAAAGCGTTGCTCGCCAAGGAACAACAAATCACGCGACCAGGACAACATGTTTTCATAACGCCAGTTGCGACAGAGGCATCATCAGCCCTTGGACATATGGTGGGGTTCGCTTCGACCAGAGCCACAACGCCCGTCACCAAACACATGCAGACACACACACAAACAACACGCCGTGCAAGTTTTCGAAACTGGCCCAGGGACGCGCCTGGAAGAAAAACAAAGAAGAGTTCCATCTCGCCGACGGCAATTTCGAACTCGGCCTCTTCCTCGTCTTCGCAGGCGCATCCTCAGGCGGACATGGGAACTAAACAAACACGGTGCAACACATTCCGTAAAACGCTTGGAAGGAAGACAAGGGGAAAGACACGGAGGAAGAGGAAGCAGACCCAGAACAGGTGAAACAATTGTTGGCGCAAGTGCAATACATCGGGAAACGATGGCATACGAAAGGCAAGACGAAACAGATGAATGCGCACAACCAGGTCCAGAAAATGGCGGCGGCACAAACAGTGGCAGGAACGGCAGTTGCGACAGTCTTCAGGCTCCGGCGGAATCGCTGCGTCAGGAAACCCATGGAGACCCCGCAAGCGTCATCACTGTCAACATGCAAAAGTTGACCAAGCACATCCTGCCAAACATCGACACTTCAGAGTGGCCCAAGACGCATGCGGGGAGGGCTCACCCAGTTTGCGGACCAGTAGGAGCTCCCCCAAGGCACTTAGAACAAATGTTGGCAGCGAGTTCGCTTTCGGAGAGTTCGGGCCGTTACAAACCCCAGAAGATCGAGCAGTTGTTGAAAACATTGTCAGGGAGACCACTACTGAAATCGTCGAGTGAATGGTCGCTCCAACAGATAACTCCATATCTTTCGTTCGGTATCACAATGATCTGATTTGCCTCGAGTTTGCCCTCACGCGAAAGGGGCTGTGAAAAAGAACACAATTTCCCGAACAGCCTTTACCCGGTAAGGGCCCTGGCAGGGACGTGGATTTTTACAGACACCCTGTACCTGGTTAGTGTCTGCGGTCAATGTAGCGTGCGTTCTCTCGCTTGGTATCAAAGTGAGCGGCCGATTCTTGAGATCAATGGCGTCTTGGAGCCGCCAGGCCCGTCGGACCTTGAGACGAGTCAGTCGACGACTCACGACGCTCGCCTGGCTTGTGTTGATCCCCCTTGACGTGGCGTGCAACGTCCTCGGCTTTGCGCTTGTGAATGTCATGGCGCTGACGCAGGCGCCAGCAGCTTACTCCAGTCTGCCCCTAATCCACGCGCTACTGTTAGCTGCCGATCTATAGTACGTGGAGGGTGCAGCAGCAGCTTTCGCGAATCCAACTTGCGCCCTTCATCTTGTTCTGCGGGATTTGCGAGTTAAAGCCTCATCAGTGCGTATTTCAGCCAGTTCACTAACTTTTCAGCCTGTCCTACGATCTCTTTCGCCTTTTCTGCCATCTGTGCTTCTGCGTTGCACTGCTTGTTTGTGTATTGCTACGCTTCTGTCTTGCTATTCTACCCCAGTCGCTACATGCAGTACGTGCATTTCTGGTCACGATCTGCCTCGCAAGCCTCATAAGTTCGGAATAATGCGAGCACGTAAACACACCGTACATAGTACGCCATTTGCCAGTCTGGACCTTCAGCCTCATCGCGAGACAGCGCCTTCTGAATCGAGCATAACTGCTTCGTTTCGGACCGAGACGGGTGCGACAGTCCTCGTAGCCTCTGCCTTGAAGCCTTGCTTACAATACTCATGCGTTCATGAGGGGAACAAGCGAAGACATAAACACAAAAGCTCGACGGTCCGAACGGACTTCTCGGATCGGCGCTGGGCCCCCTCCCTGGCGCGCGGAGCGTGCCAGGGGCGCCGCCGGAGGAGCTGCCGGGGGGCTCCTGCCCAGATCCGAGGGATCTGCGAAGGCCTCCGAGGTTTCGAGCTTTTGTCCATTCTGTTCCCTTCGCCCGCTGGCCGCAGGAGGGCTGGCCCGCGCCCTTGCTCCGGCGCGCTCGCCCCGGGCCGACCAGGTACACGCCCATCGACGAGGCCCAGTCCGTCAGCAGCTGCAGGGCGAACTCGCCGCGCCCAACCTCGGCGCAGAGGCCCGCGAAACCGCTGAGATCCCGGTGCTCCTCCTCGTCCTCCTCCTCCTCGTCCTCCTCCTCCTCCTCCTCCTCGTTGTCGTCGTCCTCTTCCTCTTCCTCCTCCTCCTCTTCCTCCTCCTCCTCCTCGTCGTCGCTGTGGTTGTTGTCGTCCCCGAAGAGCATTGAGGGCATGGATGCGTCCGCGGTCGCCGATTGGGTCATGTCGAGGAGCGAGGAGGGCAAGGCAGAGGAGGTACCATACGCAAGAGGCGTCTTCGAGGTGGCGGACTGGCTCATCAGGCAGCATGAGGAGGAGCCCGGAGCAATGGCAAGGCCCCCGCACCTTCTGGTGGCGATGTCCAGGACACGAGGTTCTGCAGCGGCATGACGTGCTGTGCAGCTTGCTGGATCTCCCAGCTGGACGACGTGGGGGCAGGCGAGCGGACCTGGCGTGTCTGGTGCATTTTGTACATGCAGGAAGTACTGCAGCAGCCCGAGCACCGTGGCTGGGCGGCGGCTGCGAGGGGCACTAGGCCGCTGAGGGAGCTGGCTAAGGAGATGCGCGAGGAGGCCTGGAGGACAAACAGAAGCCACAGGCTGGCGACGATCGAGCACCTCCAGATGCGCGCCGAGCTGGACACCCAGGATGAAGGGAGGCGGCGCTGGCCCGATATTGGTGGTCGATGTAGAAGGTGCGAGAGGTGTTCAGGGAGCTGCTAGGAGACAGCGCTCCCAGGACGGCGTACTACGACGAGGGCGGCGGAGGCGAGGTCGAGGAGGAGTCCTGGGCCCCCGAGCGGGCTGCGCAAGAAGCGACATCCAGCTCTGGAGGGGCCAGGCCAAAGGAGGTAGCCCCTGGCGGGCCTAGAGGGCATGAGGCAACCCAGCTTGGAACAGTCCCGAACAGCTCGGCCGACGGGACCCCAGCGGGCGATCCTGGGAGGGAGGTGAACGTCCTACACGGTGGGAACCTAGCCGCGGAGATAGAGCAGGTTGCCAACAGAGCAAGAGGCATCGTCAATGGGCAGGCGAAGGGGAGGCGATCAGCTTCGACATCTTCGATGAGGTCGACGGGATCGTCGAGACCGTCGAGTACTACGGCGGCTGCGAGCTCGAGGAGGAGGCCTAGGTCCCCGAGCAGGCGGCGCGAGGTGCGTCGGCCAGCGGGTGGGGGGCTAGACCAGAGAAGCGGATGAGAGGCGAGATTGGGGGCAGCTTGGATAGGCGCCGCAAGGAGGCCAAGCCGGCAGACGCGCAAGAGCCTACCGGCAAGGCGGCCCATGCAAGGGGCCAGTATGCCTAATGAGGAGAAGTGGAGGAAGCGCGGTAGGAGCAGAGGAGGGCAAAGCGCAGTAGGAGGAAACACAAGAAACCGCACCCAGCAGGAGGCCAGGTCACGATCTGGACGACCAGCGCCAACAGCTGGGATTCGGCAGCGCGACTCTTGGAGGAGACGGAAGGCAAAGGACTCGGGCCCCCAGAATACGTGCTACTGCAGGAGCATTCTGGCAAGACAGGCAGCGCTCTGGATCAGGCCCGAAAGTGGGCAAAACGCAGAGAGTGAAGGCCTGGCTCGGAGTTGTGGCGGCGACGGGTAATGGGGCCCTGGGGTCCAGCGGAGGAGCGGCGGTGCGTAGTTCGAGGGCGAGAGGCAGCAGGGAGGTGATCGAGCTGGACGCGAAGTGGAATCACAGATAGGCCGCAGCGGAGGTGGACCTAGCCTTGCAAGTGAAGGTTGTGATGGCGTCGGTCTACCTCGAGCACGGCGTCAGGCTCGAGGGCAACTGCGAGCTGCTGGCGGCCATCGGCACAGCCATCGTAGGACAGAGAGAGTCCCAGGGGTGCTAGGAGGGGATTGGAACAGGGACCCGTGCTACCTCGACGAATGGGCGCAGAAGCGCTGAAGGACCCTCGCCACAGCTGGGGAAGCTACGATGGGGGCGGAAGAGTACGACTACTTCATCGTGGCCAACGAGCTCGCTCCCCGTGGTAAATGAGGCGAAGGTCGCGGGAGAAATGGCGTGCAGCCCCCGCCGTCCCGCGGGGCTCACGCTGCGAGGCGTGGGCAGGAAGGCCCCAGCGAAGGTGCTCTGCCAGCCGTGGAAGGTCGACCTGGACTTGCCGCCGCCTGCGTGCAGGTCGCCCGGAGAGAAGAGGAGCTGGAGCAACGCAACGGACGCAGCTGCGCATGGTGGGCCTGGAGGCGCACTGGCAGAAAGGCCTGAGGAGGAGGTCCAATGCAAAGACCAAGTGCTGGGCAGGCAGGGTGGCGGCGCTGGTGAGGTGGATGCCCGAGCGAAAGAGGCGCTGCGCCAGGAGGTTGAGGAGGCGAGCTGGCCGTCGAAATCCTGCTAGAAGGAGGAGCTGAGGAGGTCATCAGGCGCTTCGCGGCAGGAAGCAAGGGGGAGCTCCTGGCCCACGGTGGAGCAGGCCCAGGCCAGCGGGGGAGGATGCCAAGGAGGCCAGCAAGTATTGGAATGCCTGGGTCACCAAAGCGACCCAAGAGGTTGGAGGATCAGCGGCCATCCGCTTCCCGGAGTAGGGAGCCGGAGGCGAGGGGGCGGACGACCCTGAGATAGGAGGGGCGCCGCAGACAGGAACGGCAGCCATGGGGGTGGTGCTGAAGGCGTGGGTGCCGCAGTGGGCCAAGGGGACGATGCGGCAAGAACAGCACCCCGCGGAATGGAGGAGGGGCCCTGAGCTCCCGGCGATCAACGTCAAGCAGGTCGGGGACGTGCTAGACAGCTATGCGAAGGGGACAGGCCTCAGCTCGGACCGCCCCCTTCTTCGAATGCGCTGCAGCAGTTGCCCGGCAACTGCAGCGACAGCCTGGCGGAGGGCGCCGGGCCACTGGCGATGTGGAACGTTGCGGCGCTCTTCCTGGCCGAGCCCGACGGAAGGCCGCGGCCCGTTTGCCTGCTGGCGCTCGCGACGAGGTTCTCGGGAGCGGCTAAGAGGGGGGTGTCCAAGAGGGGGGGGTGCAACTCATGACCGGCGGCATGTGCGCGGCCCAGCGGGGGGGCCAGGGACGCCATGAACTAAGAAGAGGCGCCCTAAAATCTGGGGAAGTATCATGGCCCCCGCCATGAGATCCCCCCCCCCCTGGTCACCGCCCCCCTCTTTGCCGCCCCCGAGGTCCTGGAGCCGGATCCGACAGCCGATGGTGGCCGGGCGGGGGCCGGAGCTGGCGGGCCAGGAGCACTTCTGGGGAGCGTCGGCGGAGCCCTGCAACAAGGAGGGGGCGGTGTCCGGCCTGGCAGCCTGCTGTGCGAGGAGGCCGTGGGCCTCGCGGCGCGGGGCGGGGCGCGTGGGCTCGGCGGCGAAATTCTGCGAGCACGTCTCGCACAGGGCGCTCGAGGATGGCGGGCGAGGAGGTGGTCTTCCCGTGCAGCTTCCCGGGCAGCTGCGCGTCAAGTGCAGCATGCCGGGGAGGGCCCGATGGGGCGGCGCGGTGGGCAAGGAACCGGAAAGCAACGGAACGATGGCGGCGGGGTGCTCATGCGCCATCGGCCCGGCCGAGGTCATGATGCACAGGGCGCTGATCATGCTGGCGAGAGAGCGCCCGCTGGTGCGGTGCCAGAGCGTGGCGGACGACGCGATGGTCCAGGCGGTAGGGCGAGCCGACCAAGTCAGGGAGCAACTCCCAAAGGCCATGGCTAAGCTGGTCGGCATGCTGGAGGCGAAGAGCCTGGCGGAAGCCTGGCACAAGACAAAGCACGCGGCGAGCGACAGGCGGGGGCGGGGGACAGGACAGCAGGGCGCGAGGACGAGGGGGGCGGCCAAGGCAGCTGGGAGAGCGCAGGTGCTCAGGGCGGCAGGTGTGAACTAAAGGAGGGCACCTGCAAAGGAACAGCCCGACGGCAACGGCGATCTGGGGTGCAGGCGTCACCTGCGCATGCGGGCGACGAAGGCGGAGGGAAGGCTGCCGAAAGGAGCGGTGGCGCACCTCGGGCTCAGGACTTCGAAGCTAGGATGCGAGAGGGACCCAGGGGCGCTGGCAGCGGCCGAAGGGGCCAAGGCCTGGGCGCTGTGTGCGGAAGGGCCGACGAAGGCGCTGCTAGTAGGAGGCGAGGAAGCTGCTGAGGAAGGAGAGGCCCTGGTCTGGAGCAGCAAGCCCAGCCGATGCGACGGTCCTCACGATGGCCCGAGAGGGAGTGGTGATGCCATCGGCTTTCGAGCTGGGCATGCCGACGGGGGAGGTGCTGGACCTGAGGTGGCTGAGGCCTGGGCTGGTCGCAGAGTTGGCAGGACGTGCTGCGAGGTGGATGGCAGATGCCCAGATCCCATGCCTGGGCAAAGGCTTGGCGTGGGGAGCAGCCGTGCACTGGAGGCACCTCGGGGGGCTCATCGGTGAGGACGAGACAGGGTGCTGGGAGGTGGAGCACAGGAGGCGCTGAGGTGTGCGGCGGCAAGCTCCACGTGGTCGCAGGCGAGGCTGCGCGACAAGAGGCTCGCGGTGACGGGCGTGTGCGGGCGCCGCAGGACGATGAGGGGGCACGCCGTGGCATCGGCACCTCGAGTGCGACGTGGGCCTGGGCACGCGGAGAGATTATTTTAATTTTTGTAATAGGGGGGGGGATAGGGGGGGAAGGAGTGCTCCAGGCGGAGTGCGAAGGAGGGGAGGAGGCAAGGAGGAGAAGCAGGCAAGAGGCTTGCCAGAAACCTCTTCCCAGATGTCACGCAGACGTGGACGGAGCCGCATGAGGGGCGCGACGGGGGGGAGGTGACCTGGATCAGGAGGCCCCCGCTGGGCTTCTCTCAGGGCAAGGTGTTTGTGGACGGCTCGGCCAAGGACCCTGCGGAGGAAGTGCTGAGGAGAGCGGGCTGGTCGATCGTCCAGTACAGCGAGGGGGGGCAAGTGATAGGTGTGGTCTGTGGAATGGTCCCGCTAGCGTGGGCCCCCATGCTGCTGGCGAGGGACGGCGAGGACTATGCCTTCCATTTCCTGGCGGGCTGCTCGCAAGCGCCGCTGGAGGTGTTCAGCGACTGCGCGGGCTTGATCAGCC